GTGGAGCAAGTTCCACTGGTACTGTTTGAATGGTTTCAATTTTTCCGAGATGCTGTGGCTCCAAGATTAAGGAAATTCCTTCAATATGCATTGGTTGATACAGTCCACTTCAGAGTCTCCATTTGCCCAGATGCTAGCTATTAAAGCTTGGCCAGAAGAGTTGTCCACTTTGTTCTGCCCTCCATCCTCTGCATGGTATTAAACATCCTCTACAGGACTCAGTGAGCTGTCATGTCCATCTACTGCACAGGCTTCAGCTACTGAGGAAGCCCATTTCTGACACGGGCACTCCACCATCAGACCATAGATCCTGTGATTTTCCCTGTGGTTGGAGTTTTGAGCCAGTAGTACATTTGGGAGGGTCCCCAAAAGTCCCTGTCTGAGTTGACCCCAGATCTTGCTCCTGTATGTGCCAGCTCATGCAGGGTCCAGTTCAGTCTGTCACCTGCATCAGTCTACGCACACACTGGAAGATTCCATCATCTGTCCAGTTCTTTTTCCAGCTCCATTTCATTTGCAAACCAATGGATGTTGCAGTTCAGCCAAACCCTACCCACCACACACTCAACTCTCATGTACACTGGTGGGAACTGCAACCCAGTTGAAGATGCCCTAGTAACCCCCACTAGGTCCATCCCCAGCCCCGGTTCCTGTTGATGCTGGTATGTGCAACAGAGTGGTCCAGCCTGTCCCTTAACCCATTTTGTTTTTGTACACACCGGTGGATCCTGTAGCCTTGCTCAGCGTGACTCACCCCATTATCCAGTCCACACTTATGCCAGCAGGAATTACTACCTGTCCAGCCAAGCCTGCCCCTAGCCCTGGTTCTCATGCTCACCAGTGTTAGCCCATCAGAGGGGTACCCAAAGTTTCCCTATTAGGCCCACTTCCAGTCCCAGATCTTGTACTTTGCAGGTGGTACTGCGGTCTAGCCTGACAGGGTTTGCCCCTAGTCCCAACACTTGCTAGCTGATACTGCAGCAAAGCCCAACCAGCCTGCACTGAGTCTGGCTCGTGCATGTGCCAGCAGATAAAGTCAATTAGCCCAGACTGGCAATCCCGAAACCCAGCTCATATTCAGATGAATAGATGTTGTATTCCTGCCTAGTCTGGTCTGTCCTTGGTCTCAGCTCTTGTGCTTACCAAAGCAGTGACCCAACAGAGAAGCCCACCACAGCCCCACTACAAGTCTTGCCCCTCCCCAGGAGTCTGTGCTGATGTGTGCCACAGCTCAATCTGAGGTGACCCACCTCACCTCATCATTCACTGGCATATACTACAGATTAGCTATACTCAGCCTGCCCCAAGTTCCAGCTCATGCTGCAGGTGCTATAGCCTTGCCCACAGTGGCAACCCTCCTGTGACTGGGTGATGTTGTGACCCACCTTGGCTTGTCCTGCACCCTTTCCTGATTTTCACATCTGCTAGTGAGTGCTATGAACTGCTAATGGCCCTCATGTATGCGAGCGAGTATTGTAATGGCCTGGCCTGGGCTGCTCCCAGACGTGGTTCTTATACTCACCTGCAGCAACTGCATCCTGACAGAGGAGTTCAAAAACTTTATATCTCTACATCTCTTTCTCCATACTTTATGTTGCTGATGCCATAAATTACATTATTTTTATTGTATATCCATTCATATAGTTTAATGGAATTATTTCTAAGTTTCATATTTAATCCCATATTTGAATTTAAAATTATTTACACACTGTTGTTACAGTATTACAGGATTTAGTATTTGTCTATATATTTATCTTTTGTAAATCTTTATTTTTTAGATTTATTTGAAAAGCAAATTACAGAGGGAAAGACCGAGAGAGGTCTTCCATTCACTGGTTCATCCCCCAAAATGGCTGCAGTGGCTGAGGCTGGGCCAGGCTGAAGTCAACTGCCTAGAGCTTCATCTGAGTTTCCACACGATTACAGGGACCCAAGGACTTGGTCCCTCCTCCGCAGCTTTCCCAGGACATTAGCAGTGGGCTGGATGGGAAGTAGAGCAGCTGAGACAACCACTGCCCATAAGTAATGCCACTACTGCAGGCAACAACTTAGCTTGCTCTGCCACAGCACAGCCCTTATATTTACCTTTAACATGGAAGTTTAGGGGTGAGCATTGTGGCACAACTTGAGTTACCTGCATACCAAATCAGAGTGTCTTGTTTGAGTCCCATCTGCTGTCCTGCTGATCCATCCAGCTGGTTTTGACTTGGTTGAGCCCCGCTGTTGCAGGTGTTTGGATGTTGAACTAGCAGCCAATAGATCTCTTGTCACTCTGCCTTTTAAATATATATTTTCTAAATGTGCAAGTTTATATGCCTCTGTTTTATTTTATTACACCTTTTTCATCTCTGCCTAAAGTGTTCTCCCTAATAGTTCCTGTAAGGAAGATCTAGTGGTAATGTGTTCTCTCTACTTTACTTACCTGGGGACGTCTCTGTTTCTATCTCATTTTAATCATTTTGTTAGGCATACTCTTCTTTGTTGGTAGGCCTTTATCTTTCAGTTCTTCAGTACTCTGTCCTACCTATCTCTGGCCTTATAAACCTTGTAATTAGAATTTCACTGATAATCTTTTTTAACTTTTTATTTTTAATGGGGAAGGTCAAGGTATGGAGGAAGGTGAATGAGATAAATGTTTCAGGGTGTTTTTTTTCTGCTTCTTTTTCTTCCTCTTATGTCTGTTGGGAATTGGGGGAGAAGACAGTCCCCTTGCTCCTTGCTGTTAAACAACATATGGGAAATCTTTCACCGCTTTCTCGGGGATAATTGGTAGGGAACTGAATTGGAAGTAGAGCTGCCATGACTCAAACCAATACTCATATGGAATGAGTAAACGGTTGCTTAACCTACTGTGCCACAATACTAGCCCCCTTTTCTAGCATCTATCTCTTCTTGATAGCCTCATTTTGTTCATACCTTATTTCCTGATTCCCTTAGTTGTTTATCCCATTTTCATTGAGCTTCTTTAAGACAGTTACTTTTTATTCTTTGCCATGTAATTCGTAACTTTCTATTTCTTTGAGTTCAGTTTCTGGAGATGTAGTTAGTTTGCTTTGACCCTACTTGTCCATTTCTGTGTATGTCTTGTTTGGTATTGCTGTAGGGATTAGGGCGTTTGGATTGACTGCCCCCTTTCCCAGTCTGTATTGACTGCTTCATGTAGAAGAGTTTCACAAATGATCTTGGCAATAGATTCTAAGAGCTCTTAAACTTCTGGGCCTGCATCAATTCTGACATTTTTTCTAAGATTTTATTTATTTTTATTGGAAAGGCAGATTTACAGAGAGCTGGAGAGAGAGAAAGATCTTTCTGTCTACTGATTCACTGCCTAGTGGCTGCAATGGCCAGAGCTGAGCTGAGCTGATCTGAAGCCAGGAGCTTCTTCCAAGTTTCCCACATGGGTTCAGTGGCCTAAGCACATGGGTTATCCTCTACTGCTTTCCCGGACCACAAACAGGGAGCTGAATGGGAAGTGTGGCGGCCAGGACACAAACTGGTGCCCATAAGGGAACCTCCCATGTGCAAGGTGGGGATTTAGCCACTGTGCCATCATCGCACCAAGCCCTCCATTCTGACTTTAGGATTTGCCAGTTTCTTCTTCTGGAGTTCTTGCTCCCTCTAGCGTTTGATTGTAGTTCTGTAACGTGTTTCTTACCTGTGACCTTTGTTCTCAAGCATCTAAAACACACAAATTGGGATCCAAGGAAAGCAAAGAGCAGTGCCCCCAGGAAACCTTTCCAAAAATATTCTACTCTTCTCTTTCCCTCCTGATGGAGAAATCAGAGTTGGCTGCCAACCTGTGCCGCTTGGTGAAGGGCTATTATGGATATTAAGCAGCAGTTTTTCTTACTGTTTCCATGCCACACTGTTTTATACGTTGCATTTTGCCTGACTTACTGAAACTTTTTAATTGACTTTTGGAGTTCCATAAAGGCTTTTTCTTTGTCTGTTCAAAGAGCATCTTTGTGGAACATATTAGATTCGCACTTCCTATTCTATCATTTGCTGATGTCATTATTTTTGTTAAATTCTTTAAAGATTTATTTGTTTGAAGAAAGAGTTACAGAGAGAAAGACAGAGCAAGATAGAAAGAAAGAGATCTTCCATTTGCTGGTTGACTCCCAAAATGTTCACAATGGTCGAGGCTGGGCCAGGCCGAAGTCAGGAGGTATATCTGGATTTCCCACGTGGGTGGGCATAGCAGGGGCCCACGCTCTTGGGCCAAGTCTTCAGCTTTGCCAGGCCATTAGCAGGAAGTCAAGCATCCCAGACTAAAATCAGAACCAGTATGGAATGCTTGTGTCTCAGGCAGTGGCCTATCTTGCTATGCCACAGCACTGGACTCTTATTATTTTTAATACAAAAATTTTTCAAGATATATATTTACATAGTTTACTGAGTCCAATACCAAGAACAGAATGGAAGATTTTTGTGTGTGTGAGTCAGGACCAGTTTTGTCATTGTTTGTTTTGGTTTTTACTTATTATGATGAAATAATACATATATAATTTCCATGGATACAAAATATACTGAAAATTCAGTTGATTCGTATATTGCAAGAGCTGATCCCAAGAACAAAATTGTTTATGTTGTTGCTAAATTGTTATTTTTACTTTTAAACTGATTGTTCTGCTTCATTACTATAACCATATTGGCCATCTGCTGAGTGGTACAAGTGTTCCGTGGTCACTTTTTCTCCCTTCCTGTGCTCCATCTGATCCTGCAATTTTGATTATAGAAGGGAACCGTTTGCAGCTCACTAGTCCTTTACTTTCTTGGCCTTTAGACAATGGAAATTTCTGAATCCATATTACATTCTTTGTAATTTCCTACTAGAGCCACATCTTTTCACATATATATCCCTGTTAGAGCTTCATCATCATGTTTGTTTGGTAAAATGCTTGTCTGTCTTCATTATCATTTAGATATGTTTTTCTGATGTGTAATATATGTGAAAATTGTTCCCTCTGAAATGTTTCCTTAACTGTGTGCCTTTGCAGGTGGTGTACTGTTTAATGTCGTATCCTCCATCCGGGACGTAGTTATTGGTGTGCTGATAGGAACTGTTCTGGGAATTTTTGTTCATTTTTTTCCAAGTAAAGATCAGGTAAATTAAAAACTAACCTATCCTATACAAATGTTATGTTAGATATTTATTTAAAAATCCAAACTCTGGATAGAGCCATGAATATTAACCGTTGTACTCAACTCCTTTTCCCAAAAAGTAATCTCATGCCTACTCTGCTGAAAATAGAACAAAACAAAAAACCTGTAGCGACTGAAATGGATCAGTGGCTTTGACTGAAGCCTTGTTTCCTGATTTGACAGATAAGAAATAGCACATCACTTTCATTTCACCCCACACATTGCTATTGATGTGTAATGATGGTTCCTAATCTTTTCATCCACAAAACTTTCCCTTGGACATTCTGACATAAATGGTTCCAATCTCCTTTGACAGAGGCAACACTTTAAATTTACCCCTAAACTGTCCTAACAGATCGCTCATTCCCCTGTATTTCTGAGACCTCCATCCTCATTGGCCCATAACAATTATTTTAGCTAAAGAGACATTCAGACTTTAGTTTTAATAATTAATTGGATATTATATAAAACTAAAGGTAATAGGAGTCTCTCCTTTTGTCTTCAATTACAGCTAACTTATTATAACCATTTTAACATTTGGATCAAATATATCAGAATCCTTAATAATCAAAAATTCTGTTGTTTTTCTAGTAAACCTGCTAAAATACTTGGTTAGGAAGGAAATCAACATTTTAAACATTTACTATAATATTCTGTAATATGATACTACAGGGTCAAAAGTAAATGATATTGTTATTTGTTATGTATTTATTGTAAATTAATTTCTAAATGTCTGTCTAATCCTAGTCAAACCTTCCATTGAAGAGAGCAACCCTTATTTTGAGTATGTGTATTTCTGCTGTCTTAGGCAGCCACCGTATTGGTTTGCATGCAACTGGAGGATTATGCACACTAACAATGTCTTTCATTGCTGGGACATCATGGTCTAAAGAAAAGGTAACTATTTTCTTACTATTCCATTTTAAAATATATTTTATTTTTATTCATCACTTATCAATTTTGCACATCTATGAATTACAGTATGGCATTTCAGTATTTGTACACCATGTGTAATGATGAGATCGAGGCAATTGCCACATCCAGCACCCTCAGATAATTACTATCTCTTTATGTTGGAATTATTCAGTGTCCTCTCCACTGCCCATTTTAAGATATTCAGGTAATTGTTGCCAACCAAAATTATCCTACTATGCTTTAGAACACTCACCAGAAGTTATTTTTCCTGTCCCGTTGTACTTCTATAACCAATGCGCGTCCTCTATCCATCTTCCCTCCCACACATGCTTCCCACGCTCTGACAACCAGTTTCGTTCTGTGAAATCAGCATTTGAGCCTCCACATAAGGATTGGTTAAGACAAAATGTAGGAGCATGTTGGGGCACAACTGTTTGAGTCACCACCTGGGAGGCTGACATCGAATGCTGAGCAGCTAGGATTGATTTCTGCCTCTGCCTCTGCTTCCGGCCCACCTTCCTGCTGGTCACCCTGGAGGCAGCAGGTGATGATGCAGGTCCTGGGAGACCCTGAGGGAGCTCCTGGCTCCTGGCTTCAGCCACACCTGGCCCAGCTGTGTGGCCCTTTGGGAAGGTGAATCAGTGAAAGATCTCTCCCATGTGTCTTTTTCTGTATGTATCTTTCAAATTAAGATGAAGAAGTACTTTTAAAAATAAATAAGTAACAAAATTACTGAATTTTTTATCAATAGCGAATAATTAACAGATCATTTTAGCTGGAAGATATTCTCAATTATTTGTGTCCAATTATTGTGTCCACTAAGAAGTGTATGAATCAATAAGGATATAAAATATTTAGACAAAACATGTAGAAATACACATAATGAACCAGAAGTTGACTTATCACTTCAGGCCTTTTCTCAAATTATACTTGGTTATCATGTAACTTTTATTAGTCTAATTACCTTATTAACAATTTAGTTACATAATAAATCCATGAATGAAACATATAAATTAAATGCAAAAGGTCCTTTTCCCCCCAACACTCCTAAATATAATATGCGCCTCCCACAATTAATTATTTCATCCAAGCAATCCGCTATGCAGATGCTTAACTCTCTTGTGTTTCCAACAATACCACCAGCAATAGTCCTGCCAATGTGTCTTTATCTACTCCTGCATCTGGATAAGGGTTTCCATAAGCTTAGACTCCCAGAAATGGACTTTGGAGTTACAAAATGATCAGGTTTAATTTTGATGAGAACTGCAAAATTGCCACTGCAAAATATTTTAGCTATTTATACTCCTGCCAACAGTGCCACAGGGGCACAAACACTGAAAACCACCAGTGCTGTTGGATACACTCAATAGTTCCTTTTTTAAAACCACCAGATGTTCAATAAACTATACAATTGTTATTTTTATTTACATTTATATCTAGTAGTAGAGCAAGATTCTTCTCATATATTCCTTTTTACTACTTACTGATCCTTTGTACACCTTTATTCAATTATTTACCTCTGTTTCTGTTATACAGTTGATGTGTTAGGGCTTGCAAGTCTTTGTTATATATTTATTGCATATAATTTTTGCTTATCTTCTGCTTCATTTATGGCATCTTTGTGTAAAAATAAAATCTTCTGCTACGCCCAGTGCCATAGCATAGTGGCTAAAGTTCTTGCCTTTTATGCACCAGGATCCCATGTGGGCACCAATTCTAATCTCAGAGGCCCGGCTTCCCATCCAGCTCCCTGCTTGTAGCCGGGAAAACAGTAAAGCCTTGGGACCCTGCACCCATGTGGGAGACCTAGAAGAGGCTCCAGTCTCCTGGCTTCAGATTGGCTCAGCTCCAGCTGTTGCAGTTGCTTGAGGAGTGAATCATCAGATGGAAGATCTTCCTCTCTGTCTCTCCTCCTCTATGTATATCTAACATTGCAATAAAAATAAATATTTTTTTAAAATCTGCTGCTGCCAAACTTAATCAGTTTTTCCTTTTAGTTTGGGGTTCTGCATCTTCAGGTTTTGTTTGTTTTGTTAGACTTTTGAAATTTTATATACTTGGAGATGTATAGAAATTGTCTCTGTCACCCTTACTTAAGAGAGAAGCAGCTCCCATGTGCTAGGTCAGTCCCCCAGATGCTGTCCCTGCACATGGAAACTCACAGCCAGGAGCTGAGAACTCATTCCAGATCTCCCAGGAACGTGGCAGGAATCCAATTACTTGAGCTAATTCACCGCTGCTTCCCACAACCTCATTAATAGAAAGCTGGAGCTGGGAAGTGAATTTGGGTACCCTGATGTAGGATGCAGGCATCATAATCAGTCTTAAATGCTGTGTTGGATGCCTGCCCCATGGATTCTACATCCTATTTAAGAAGGACTTCTACATCCAAGATTATAAGAGTGTAAACCTTATAAAGATATACTTTCTATATTATCTTCTAATACTCTGGTAATTTTTGCTCATTTTGTATTTATATTTAGTACTCTCGACTTTATCTTGTGAATGCTGAGGGTTAAAGATCTTTTGTATCTGTGTATGTAGACTCTTGTATTTGCATAATAACCAGTGACTAGAAGGAATTGCCTGTCTCTGTTCTTCAAATAGATAAACATAATTTTGAAAAAATAAGTAAACTCAGTTTTTTCCAAAATTATAGAATTATTTTTCATATAATATAGAAAATAAACAAGAATAAATAGCTTTTAAAGATTAACTGTAATTGGCCCAGCTCAGTAGCCTAGTGGCTGAAGTTCTCACCTTGCATGCGCCAGGATCACATTTGGGTGCCAGTTCATGTCCTGGCTGCTCCACTTTCCATCCAGCTCCCTGCTAATAATGACTGGGAAAGTAGCAGAGGATGGTGCAAAGCCTTGCGACCCTATCCACATGGGATAGCCGGAAGAAACTCTTGTCTCCTGGCCTTGGATTGGCTCAGCTGCCACCATTTTGGCCATTTGGAGAGTGAAACAGCAGATGGAAAAATCTCACTGTGTGTCTCTCTGTTTGAAAGGTAAATCTAGGGCCCGGCGCGGTGGCGCAAGTGGTTAAGGTCCTCACCTTGCACGCCCGGGATCCCATATGGGCGCCGGTTCTATCCCGGCAGCCCCGCTTCCCTTCCAGCTCCCTGCCTGTGGCCCGGGAAAGCAGTCGAGGACGGTCCAAAGCTTTGGGACCCTGCACCTGTGTGGGAGACCCGGAAGAGACTCCTGGCTTCAGATCGGCATAGCATTGGCCGTTTCGCTCACTTAGGGAGTGAATCATCGGATGGAAGATCTTCCTCTCTGTATATCCGCCTTTCCAATAAAAAAATAATAAAAATAAATCTAAAAAAAAAAAAGAAAGGTAAATCTACCTTTCCAACAAAAATAAACAAGTTTTTATGAAAACAAGAATTATACTACTCACTTTTAAGTAGGTTTTAACATTTCTTCGAAAAATAAAGCACATTTATTAAATGTAATTAAAGCTGTAAATGTAATTATCTTTTATGTGCCACAATAATTATAAATATGTTTCTATTTTCCACAGGTTAGAGTCCAAACTTTTATTAAAGCTACATGGGATGTTTTTCAACCTCTTCTTTTTGGTTTAGTTGGATCAGAAATATCTGTGTCAGCTCTTGAAGCAAATAAGATTGGTAAGAATAATTGGGAAACAATAATAGTGAAATTCACAAATATTTAAGGGAATTATAGATTATTAAATTGCATTTACTATATCTCTTTAAGAACTCATGTGAGTACTAGGTAATATACATGTATTTGCTCCTCCCTTTTCTTTGTGTGGTTTTTTTTTATAAGATTTATTTATTTTTACTGGAAAAGTGGATATACAGAGAGGAGGAAGGACAGAGAGGGAGGGGAAGATCTTCCGTCAGATGGTTCACTCCCCAAGTGGCCACAATGGCTGGAGCTGAGCCAATTGAAGTCTTCCAGGTCTCCCATGTGGGTGCAGGGTCCCAAACCTTTGGGCCATCCTCGTCTGCTATCCCAGGCCACAAACAGGGAGCTGGATGAGAAGCGGGGCTGCCAGGATTATAACCAGAACCCATATGGGATCCTGGTGCATTCAAGGCAAGGACTTTAACCGCTATGCTATGGTGCTGGGCCCCCTTTTTTTTTTTTTTTCAAAGATAGCTTTGAAAATCTTCCCTGGGTGGTAGCAGGAAATAGCGATTAACTTTCCTTTTCTGTATGAAAATGCTTGATACTATCAAGAGTTTTTAAATAATTCTTTCATTTAAAAGTGTTTTCGGAAAGTATATTTGTTCAGAATTGAATAAATTCAATTTAAAATGTGTTAGTTCAGAATTGAATAAATGTCTTCTGCTTGTTATGTATGGTGTTCTTACCACTGATAATCTTTTGTGATATATACAAAACCCCCAATGACTCTTGCATTTTTAAATTTTTATTTATTTGAAAGAAAGAGACACAGACCGAGAGCTCTCATCTGCTAGTTCATTTTCCAAATGTCACTACAGTTGTGGCTTAGCCATGCCAAGTAGGAACCAGCTCAACCAGGTTTTCTCTGTGGCTTTTAGAGAAGCCATCGTTGCTGCCTCTCAGAGTGCCTGTTAGCAGGGAATAAAATCAGGAGACAAGCTAGTCCCAATGTGGTAGGGGATGGGCAGTGCCAAAATCCCATTAGAGTGCTAGTTGAGAGTGGGTATAAAATAAGCTGGGCTAGATCTCAGCTCCCACTGAACTATGTGAGAGCTCTGTCTGGGTGTGGACCAGGTATGGCTGGGCTGTAACAACCAACAGTAAGAACTGGATTGGGTGTGGGCCAGTTGGGCAAAACCACTGTTCCTGCCAGGACAGATTGTGGACTAAGTTAGCCTGGGCCAAGGATGCACCAGTGTGCCTGAGGTCTGCCACTGGGAGGACCCCTGATAGAGGAGCTTTGGGAACTCCTTTGTCAAGGTGCAGTGCCTACAGGTGAGCACAAGAACCAAGGCATGAGTCCCGGTGCAATAGCGTAGCCTTGAACATGGCAGGATCCCATATGGGTGCCGATATAATCCCAGCAACCCCACTTCCCATCCAGCTCCCTGCTTGTGGCCTGGGAAAGCAGTTGAGGACAGCCCAAGGCTTTGGGACCCTGCACCTGTGTGGGAGACCTAGAAGAAGCTCCTGGCTCCTGGCTTCAGATTGGCTCAGCTCCAGCTGTTGCAGCTGCTTGAGTAGTGAATCACTGGACAGAAGATCTTTCTCTCTCTCCCTCCTCTTCTCTGTATATCCGCCTCAAATATATACATTAAACATATATATAATATATACACATACATACATATATGTATGTATATACATATGTATATACATATACATATATATATACATACATATATATATACATACATATACATATATATATGAACCAAGGCATGGAACAGCCCATACCAGATTAGGTTACAGTAGACACCAGTATACTTGTAGCTCAGGTCTGGCAGTGAGCCAAGCTAGGTCAGTTCAAAATGCCCACCAGCAGATGTGAAAACAAGAACAGGGTGCAGAACAGACCAGCTTGGGCCATAGCACCAGCCAGTTCACATTAGGATTGGGACTGGGGACTGGCTGGGCCGGAGTGGGCAGCAGCACCCACCAGCATGAGCTGGAACAGGGGGCAGAGCAGGCTGGGCCAGGTTACAGCACCTCCCAGTAAGGCTGAGGTGAGGCAGGCCATGCCATACTGCACTGCAGTACTCACTAGCACATGTAAGACCCGCAGTGTGAGTCAGGGTGTGGGGGAAGGAGAAGTAGGTACACTCCTGCTTGGTAACTGCTCCTGCTGGTGAGTGTGAGAGCTGGGACTGGGGGTAGACCAGGCTGGGCAGGGATACAACACCTGTTTGCCTGCATGTGAAAAAGCCAATCTGTGCTAACTGATTATATCCATGGTGTAGGAATGAGCCAGAGTAAGGGCAGGCAGGTTGGGCTTTGTTGTAGCATCAGCTGGCAAGTGCTGGGACTGAAGGAAAATCCTGTCAAGCTAGACTGCAGAACCACATGGAGAGTTCAAGATCTGCGGTACAGAGTGGGCCCAGTAGGGAAACTGTGGGTGCCTCTCTGAAGGACTGCAACTCCCACTGGTGAACATGAGACTCAGGACTGAGGGCAGGGCTGGCTAGACAGCATAAGCGTGACAGCATACGTTGGGCTGAGTTGGACTTCAATGCCCAGTGATGTGTATGAGATCTGAATGGGTTGTGGGACAGACTGGATCAGTCTGTTGCACATACTGGCAGGCACAGGAACGGAACCAGGGATTGGGGCCAGCCCAGTGGGTGTTATTGGGAGTCACTCTAACTGGGCTACAGCTCCCTGTGATGTACATGAGGGCCAAGTGTTTGGTAGGCAGGGTTGGGCTGAGCCTCAGTGCCCACTGGTTTGCATAGAATAAACAGAGGAAAGAGGGCAGAACAAGTTGATCTACTTCCCCAGTGAAGCTTGACAGCAAATGTCTGGGCAAATGGAGACTGTGAGGTGGAATATGTCAGCCAATTGACCTTAGAAGGATTTCCTCATCCTTAAATCTGAGAGATCAACAGCATCTCAGAACTATCAAAACACATGAGCAGAACCCTCAGAATACGCTGCACACTGGGGACCCTGCAATGACATCAGGTGGCCACTCTCCATCCCTGGTACTGAGGCAATTGGGAGGCTGGGCATGGTTTCTCCCCTTGTCTGCTCCCCTCCCCCAGATACAGAAATAGAAAAATAAAAATGTATGAACAATGGTCTCACCCACTTTCCCCTAATCCTGGACTCTTCCAACCCTAATCAACTATGCAAACATATCAAAAATAAACTTTAAAAAAGAATAACAAAAAATTTTTTTTAAGATTTATTTATTTATTGGAAAGTCAGATATACAGAGAGGAGGAGAGACTGAGAGGAAGATCCTCCAACTGATGGTTCACTCCCCAAGTGAGCGCAACGGCTGATGCTATGCCAATCCAAAGCCAGGATCCAGGAACTTCTTCTGGGTATCCCACACGGGGGCAGGGTCCCAAAGCTTTGGGCCATCCTCAACTGCTTTCCCAGGCCACAAGCAGGGAGCTGGATGGGAAGCTGGGCTGTTGGGATTAGAACCGGTGCCCATATGGGATCCCGGTGCATTCAAAGCGAGGACTTTAGCTGCTAGGCCATGCCGTCAGGCCCAACAAAAAATTTGTTTAGAAAAAAGAGAGAATGCTGGTTGGAGTCCTGGCTGTTCCACTTTTGATCCAGCTCTCTGCTAATATTCCTGGGAAAGTAGTGGAGGATGACTCAAGTCCTTGGGCCTCTGCACCCACACGGGAAGAAGTTCCTGGCTGATAGCTTCAGACTGCCCAGCACTGTTGCAGACATTTGGGGAGTAAACAAGTGGATGTTATAACTCTGCCTTCCAAAATAAATAAATCTTTATATGTCTTCAGAAGTTATAGAAAACTATTTCTAGATGTAAGCTTTCTTCCCAATTGTTTTTTTGGTTATACTTGTTTTTATCTGTTGCAGGCATTTGTGTTGCCACTCTCAGTTTGGCATTATGTGTTCGAATTTTAACCACATTTCTGTTGATGTGTTTTGCTGGTTTTAGTTTTAAGGAGAAAATATTTATTGCTTTATCATGGGTGCCCAAAGCTACAGTCCAAGTAAGAAAATATTAAATCATTGTATTAATTTTATGACTTTTTAAAATTCTAGATGAAAATGGTTACTCCAGTCATAAAATGTGGACTTACTGACCTTACTTTTAAATTGTTTGATAATAATCATTAAAAATAATGTAACTTCTTTAAAACTTGAGTTTTGAAAGCAATTATTCTGAAATTTTAAAGTTTACTTTTAATTATATACTTCTTAAAGTTTGAGTTTTTTATATTTTCCTAAGCTATAAAATAAGTATCTCTAAATTATAATTTTATATTTTTCTGAGTTTTACAGGGCTAAATGATTTAAATATCTTCTATCCTGCTACTTGCTCTACCACAAAAACACATCTATATTGCTTTAAAGTATATGTTTCTATGCATAATCAATTTCAGAATTTATTTAATGTAGGAAGAGCAAAAACAGTTCTTGGCATATGGTACATGGCACACATAGAGTAAATAAGCATTATTGCCTAAAATAGATATGAAGTGCACACCTACAAGAATGAGTTACTAAATGAATGAATAAAAGGGCAACTTTGTAATTTTGTCCTTTAATCCAATAATTTTCTCCTCTATTAAAATATATTGCTAATTGTTAGACTTTTTTTAACCTGGAGGCATAGTTCCTCATTTTCTAAGAATCATTTTATCCACTGTTATGCCAAAACAGATGCTTATAAATTTCTATGCAACGAAATTTTCTTTTCTCGTGATTGTAAAATGAGGCCCAAAGAACTGTACTGCCTATTCTGAAACCATAGTACTTGTCTGTGACATTAGGCAAATCTCTTCTTAAGTGCTCAGTGCTGCCATTCCCACATTTCAGTGAGCCTATGATTGGATCTACTTCCAAAGCAGTGTTCTGAGCCTGACTGACATGACACATGCAAAGTGCTTAGCACAGTCTCAGGCAGATGGTGGTGCTCAGTTCATGATTTTATGCATTTAAACTTCAGGTACCATAAATGAAAACAGCTTTTTGTTGTTTTAATCTCTGCTATAGGGAATAGTAAATCTACGAAAAGAGTATCTGTCCATTCCTCTATTTTGTCTTCTTCCAATAATACCTTTGTAACCATTTTTATTATTTAATAATTTTTGTAAAGCAGTGAAAAAGAAAAAGCAGGTACTTCCTCAGGCCCTTCAAAATCATTGCTCTACTGCCTGATCTTGTCTCCTGGATCTAGGCTATCATGTTCATGAATATCAAACTGGTTGCATGGTTTAGGAAGAAATACAAAATTAATTACTAATTAGTCACAACAGCAATGAAAACTGATAAAATTTGACAAATTAAAGGATGAACAAAATATTTTAAATTTTCACCTTTATTCTCTTCCTCCATTCTCTGCTGCTGAAAGATACTGATAAATTCCAGTGTATCCATTATATAAATAAGTAAAATTTTAAAGATATTTGAGTATTAAAAATAAAAGATATTATGAAGGTAAATAATTTAATTTCCAAACCAAAGGAATAATACTAAATATCAGTTACTAGCTAGAAATCATTTATCATTTATTAGCTAATGATAGCTCCATTATGGCAGGTTTCTCATGAAAATTAAATGCATTAATAAATGTGAAGCTGTAAGAATGGTAGCTGCCAGATGATAAATTACATTTAACTATACAATCATTATTAATTTCACAATTAACAACATCATCACTTAAAGGTAAATGATTTTAGGCAGCTCTTTTAGATTCAATATTCTTTCTAAACTATAAGCCCCCCCCCTTTTTTTAAATATGTATTTATTTTGGTTGGAAAGACAGATCAGGTAGACAGGGAAAAAGAGAAACAGAAAGTTCTTCCATCTGCTGCTTCACTCTCCAAATGGCTGTAACAGCCAGAACTCATCTCTGATCTGAAGCCAGGAGCTTCTTCCAGGTCTCCCACGTGGATGCAGGGTTCCAACACGTTGGACCATCCTCTGCTGCTTTCCCAGGGAGCTGGATGGGAAGTGGAGTAGCTGAGACAGGAATCAGAATCCATATGGAATGCCAGCATTTGCAAGGGGAGGATTTAGCCATGGAGTCATCATGCCAGACCCATCTGTAAGGTTCTTTAGAAATGGTTTCTGGCTGAGTGATGTTTTTCTGCCTGGAATCTAAATAGTGCCTTGTGTTCAGTAAGTAAGAAGTTGTCATAAATAATGAAACAACCTTTAATCAGAGCTCTGGAATATAAATACTTATCTTAAATGGGAGTCCTTTTGTCATCATTTCTAATATCAGAATAATTTTTTTCTTAAAGTTTGTTTTTTTTTTTTTTTACTGGAAAGGCAGATACAGAGAGAAGGAAACACAGAGAGAAAGATCTTCCATCTGCTGATTCACACCACAAGTGGTCCCAATGGCCAGAGCTGATGTGGTCTGATCTGAAGCAAAGAGCCAGGAGCTTCTTCTGGGTCTGCTGTGTAGGTGCAGGATCCCAAGGCTTTGGGCTGTCCTCGACTGCTTTCCCAGGCCACAAATAGCTGGATAGGAAATAGAGCAGCCAGGACATGAACCCAACATCCATATGGGATCCCAGAAGATGCAAAGCAGGGATTTAGCTGCTAGGCGATCACGCCGGATTCAATCACTACATTGTCACTTTGCAACTCCATAAAATATGTTTGTATATAATCCTTAAAACTGTTAAAACTAGTTTATACCTAGATTAGCAAGTAATCTGACTTATGTTATTACAAATAAAAATAATAGAATAAATCTGGCGATAATTTGTGACACCGTAGATAATTTTAAAACAAAGAATTCGCAGGAATTTATCCCCTGAGTGGCAGCAGGTAAAGATGAATCAGAAGAGAAACTCATTATTATCTGAATACCAACTATGGGACAGATGTTCTTCTGTTCTCCTATTTAATCCTCCCAACTATCCAGTGTGGTCAAGTACGGGGCTTATTAAAAAAAACAAAAAAGAAAACAGGCTTAGGCCCAGCACAATGCCTCTGTTGGCTAAATCCTCCACATCCAAGTGCTGGCACCCAATATAGGTGCTGATGCGAGCCCCAGCTGCTCCACTTCCCATCCAGCTCCTACCTTGTGGCCTGAGAAAGTAGTAGAGGACAGCCCAAAGCCTTGAGACTCTGCACCTGTGTGGAAGACCCAGAAGAAGCTCCTGGCTCCTGGCTTCGGATTGGCTCAGCTCCAGCTACTGGGGCCATCGGGGGATGAGCCAACAGGTGGAAGATCTTTGTCTCTCCTTAGCTCTGTAAATTTGCCTTTCCAATTAAATTAATAAATTTTCAAAAAATGTTCAAAAGAATAAGTTACTTTTGATGCAGAAATTTTGAAAAGCATGCCTATTTTTTTCATAAAATGTATTTTCCAAGAACTTTTTGAAGTAATCCCATGTTGTTCATTAGAACAACAAGTAATTAGAAAGTTAGAGTCACTTGTACAGGATCACTTGTAATTACAGCAAAAACAGAACAGGAATTCAGTTTGCTAGAAAGGAAACCTCTTATCAGTCCTGTTTGACAGCACTTTCTAAGTAAGGACAACAGTAAGAGGAGCAACAAATCCTAGGGAATAGCAGAAACCGTGGGTTTTCCGTGTCTTATTGCTGCCAAGAACCCCATGGTATATTCTAAAGGCAACTAAGTATCACACTGGCTCAGCTGAAACATTTCATTCTGAGGGCAACATGAGCACTCAGATGTTTCAAACGGAAAAGAGAACAGTGGTGTAAAATTGGCCCCAAAATGTTTAAACACTAAATTGCCCTTCTTGCACTATTCTCCCAGATACAGTCACTTGGGCAGAACATAGAACTGATAAGTAATTATGAAAATTACACAACATTTTTACTCTTATTTTTTTCTACTAGCTCCATACTATATATTTTTTGTTATTATTTTAACAGAGCCATTTACTTTTCTTATATGTTAACTCTAACATTTTTCCCTCTAAACGCAGGCTGTGTTAGGTCCTCTGGCTCTAGAAGCAGCAAGACTCACCACCGCACCCCACTTGGAAGCATATTCGAAGGATGTGATGACAGTAGCATTTTTAGCCATCTTGATCACAGCTCCTAATGGAGCTCTCTTTATTGGCATACTGGGGCCCAAAATACTTGCACGCCATTATGATCCAAACAAAATAAAATTGCATTTGTCAGCAGCAGCAGCACATCATTAAAAGGTTTATTTACTATATCACTGACCTGCTTCTTTTAATGAATTACCTCACGTGACACATATTTAAATGTAGAAATATGTGGAAACTGTATGTAGAATCCAGGATTTAGTGACTATATATTACTTTCCTCCGAGTTTTTATTTCTAAAGATAACTTACTAAAAGCAATATTAAATGAAACACTCTCACTATTTACATATTTTAAGAACAAAGTAAATCTGTACATACCCTATGAAAATGTAAAGTAATCCATCAGATTGAGTTTGATTTCATGATGTAAACTAAGCATAAGAAAAATAAATGAACCTAATGACAGCCAGAAAAGTCAAATTTAAAAGTTAAATTTATTCTATTCAAATTTATTTTTTGTGGCTATTGTAAATTAGATTATTTTCTTAATTTCTTTGTCAGTTTGATATTGGTGTATAGAAACACCACTGGCTTTTGTATGTTGGCTTTGTATCCTGCAACTTAACTGAATTCATTTATCAGTTCTTGCTGGTGAAGTCTTTAGGATTTTCTGCATAACAGTCAACTGCAAAGAGAGATTTCTCTTCTTTCCTTATTTTTTGCCTAATCTTAAAGGGAAAAGTTTCCATTTTTCACCCGTGAGTATGTTAGTCATGGGCTTATCATCTATAGACTTTAATGTATTATGGTACCTTTCTTCCTTTATAAGATGCATTTAAGTTTTTTGAAAGCATTAGGGAATGAGAAGGAAAGGCAGCAAAAAAGAGAAATATTCTATTCAGTGGTTCATTTCCCAGATAGCTGCCACAACCAGCACTGGGCCAGGCTGAAGCAAGGAGCAGGAGCTTCATCCAGGTGTCCCAAATACTTGATTCATCGTCCCCTGCTTTTCCCAGATCATTTTCCAAAAGTTGGATCAGAAGTCAAACAGCTGGGACACAAAAAGTGGCATCCATATGGCTTTAATCACCATGCCACAACACCTGCCCCATGCAAATTCTATTAATATGATATAGCACATTTATCGATATATGTGTTGAACCATCCCAGGAAAAATGAGGTAAGAAGCCATCTATTTTTACCTTATATCCATATAGTGAAACAACTTTTCAGTGAACAGAAATTAGTTTTTATCCTTCTGTGGATATATGAGAATTCCTTTGCAGCCATATTGCAGTCTGAGGGGCAGAATTTATTGCAATGGCATGAAATTTCATCTATTGATGAAATGGGAATCCGGGTCACTTGCTCGCGTTGCTTGCCTCTACCATTTGATCTTTCTCACGCCCAATCCTTGATATGTTACTTCCATTTTACCAGCATGCCCGTATGATTTGGTGGTGGGTCTAAGAAAACCAAACTCATTATGGGACAGTCTAGGCATTTAATCACTTCAAGCCCTGCGACAGGTAGGTAGTTCATTTCTCTACCTGGGTCCAGTGGCACCCAGAACCTATTATGATACGTGAATATACTTTAGAATAAGATAGTGAATAAATATTTGCAGATAGCATGGTCTTGCTAGAGAACCTCACAAGACTGCTGTGAATCTCTTTTTGAGATTTGCCACAAACTCCCCGGACTTTTCCCACTGAGTATACCTCAACATAATCCACATGGCAGCACTGCTTGCTCTGGATCCTGAATCAGCTTTGCTTCCCTTACTGCCAAAGCCTTTCATGTCAATCAGCAAATATGTCAGAGCAGTGTTTCCAAGTAAGAAGGGTGCTGCCTCCAAACCCCAGAGCCCTCTGACACGTTGTGCCTCCTTTTTCATGGTGGGACTATGAAACAGGACACCAGAATCCCTAAAATCTTCCCGGAATATTGGGATCCCTACCACCTTAGCTGATGTGACAGGTCTGCTGCTAGTGTGGAGCCTACTGACCACCATTCACAGACTCCCTGAACAGACAAACCCAAAACACAAAGGTTATGCTCTGTAGAACTTACAGCTAGCTGGGTCTCTGAGCTGTATTGTGACAAAGTATAGAATAGTCAAATTAGGGATCTTCTAAAAGGTCATGGAAAATGAGTAGTATGGAAAAATTACACATGGCTCTCAAGTCTTTTACACCAAAACAAATATCTTTCATTCCATTTTTCCATGAGCTTTTCAAGTCTCCTATGTGCTATGGATCTTGATCAAGACCTGAATGTATGGTGTCATCCTTCTAAGGAATGTCAGTTTCTTCTAATAAATATCCCTCCCAGTACAACGTATCTATGAGCTTTATATATTCATTCAGTTTGAAATGTATTCTAATACTTATTATAATTTCTCCTTGGTTTCATGAATTGTTTAGAAAACTTTTTAAGTTTCTAGAATGTACAGATTTATTTTAGCTGTTGTTATTGGTTTCTAATAATAGCACTTTTATTCTGCACACTGATATAAAAATTTAATATTTACCCTTTACATCTAATACCTGGTCAAATTTAACAATTGATTCAGGTGTTTTTGGAATGAAAAAAGATATTTAAATTGCTCATTGAAGAGTTCTATACCAGTCAGCAGGCATTCCAGCACAGCCCATGAAGCAGATGCTCGGAATGCCACCATCTGCATTGAAATGCCTGAGTTTGGGTCCCGACTGCTCTTCCAATCCAGCTTCCTGTTAAGCTACTGATGCTGGCTTAAATGCTTGGGCCCTGCCACCCATATGAGAGACCCAGCTGGACTTCCAGCCTCCTGTTTTTAGCATGGCTTAGCCCTGGCTGTGTAGGCATTTGGAGAGAGGAGCAGAGAAGGAGAGCACTGCTTGTTTTCTCTGTCTCTTCCTCTTCTCTCTCTCTTATTCTGTCTTTGAAACACATGAAAATAAATAAGCACTTTTGAAACAGTTCTGTACCATCTATAGTTTCTAATTTTATGTCCATTTAGTCAGTTACTAAAAATGTTAAAATCTTTCATTGTATTTGTAGAGTTGCCAGTGACTCTCTGCAGGCCTATAAATTTTGCAGGATATGTTATTAGATAGTTGCCTAAGAGGGTGCATTTCAGGATTTCAGTAGAGAAATGACCTGCGACCACGAGGTGGCGGTAGCACATGTAAAGTGTCCCTTGGTGTACATTGGCAGGCTTGCAGTGGGAAGGTTCTCTCAGTTAGGAGCCACAGGTGGGAGGCCAGCGTCCCACCTCCTGCTGAGGAGAAAGATTGGAGTGAGGGTGAAGAATCCAATCAGAGAACTCCAGAGGGCAGCTGCGGCATGGGGTCTTCGTAGCTCAAGGCTTACTCTAGCTGGCTAGCTTTCAATACGCACAGATTCACAGCAAAAATAAAGCAGATAGGCTCTAAACGGCCAAAACTTTGTTTGTTTGGGCTGTTTAAAACAACTGGCATGTAAAAATGAGCTTGGATCTGCTGGTTTTTTATTATTGTTGTGTGTCTGTGTGTTTAGCCAATTAATCTCAACACATTTGGGAAGAAATAAACTGAGGGGCAAATGTACCAAGGCCAACCTGACTCATTTGCAAAATACGCAGACTCCCTTTATTCTTTCTTGCTCAACATTGCTTATCATATTTTACTCCTATTTTTTAAAGGTTTGTTTTTTTTTACTAATATTACTTGGTAGCTAGGATTTCAGTATGTTATAGTCTCCTATCTACATTTTAACTATTGAAATTGTGCTGTAATAGGAATTTTGTTTTATTCCTTATCCCTGTTTAACCAAAATGGCTCTGAATGAGGTCATCAATGATCCAGGTGTTATCAAATCCAAGTAATATTTTAAATTTTCATTTGTGTGTGTGCATTTAATTTACATAATTTCCAAGTGGCATATCATGCATGGAATTTAATTATTTTCCTTTTACTTGATTAATATTTGCAACTTACATTGCCATCTCCTAATATGTTCTTATCACATAAACATTGCCTTTTGCCACATATTTCTCGTCTTCATCTATTTCTCTCTCCCTTTCTTCTATAATGTGTGTATGTGTATTACTTAATAATTTTATATGAAAACCTTTAGTACAAATTGAGGACCCAGTTTTTTCCTCTGTAAATCAAAGGAGCAGATTTGTCACATATCAAGCTCTCATTTATTGGTACATTTTCAGTATTGGTATATTTCCTACCATGCTTGCTGAATAAATGCAATTGTTTTTCCTTTTGTGTTTTTGTAGTAAGATTAAATCTTTTTAAAAAACTGTTTATAGTTACTTGAAAGGCCAATTTACACAGTGAGAGGTCTTCTGTCTGCTGGTTCACACTCCAGATGACTTGCAACAGCCAGAGTTGGGTGAGTCCATAGCCAGGAGCTTCTTCTGGGTCTCCCACGTGAGTGGAGGGACCCACGAACTTGAGCCATCTTCTGCTATTGTCCCAGACATTTTAGCAAAGAGCTGGACTGGAAGTGAAGCAACAGGTACTCAAACTCATGCCATGGGATATGTGCACCACACATGGCAATCTTTCCTGCTATTCCACAGTGCTGGTCCCTATTTCCTATTTATTTGAAAGGCATAGCACCACAGAGGTACTGAGAGCAAGATCTTCCATTTGCTAGTTCACTCCTCTAATGCCAACAGCTGAAGCTGGGTATTCTCCCACGTGGCAACAGGGGCCCACGCACTTAGCCCATCCTCCACTCCATTCTCAGGCACATAGCAGGGAACTGGCTTGGAAGCAGATCCTTGAGGACCAGTGCTCCAATATGGGATGCCTGCACAGCCCACTCACTACAGTGCCAACTCCTTCCTTACATTGATTCCAGTAACGTTTTAATACTGGTTGATATCTGATGAGGAAAAAAACCTCACCTTTTTTCCTACGATTTTCTAACAATTCTATCTGAATATTAAGATAAGTTAATCCAAGTTTATCCATTTTTTTAAGATTTATTTTTATTGGAAAGTCAGATATACACAGAGGAGGAGAGAGAGGAGGATATTCCATCTGCTGAATCACTCCCCAAGTGGCCAACAATGGCCAGAGCTGAGCTGATCTGAAGCCAGGAGCCAGGAGCTTCCTCTTCTGTGTCTCCCATGCGGGTGCAGGGTCCCAAGGCTTTGGGCCATCCTCGACTGTTTTCTCA